ATATCACAGGGTTTTGATTCAAAGCATCCCCTCCCATTACCTCCTCCCACCACTACCTGTCCTCTCCAGGTCACGGAATACAGCTTAATTCAAATTTAGTGGTATAAGCTATTTTCAGTCATTTCAACAATACATATTATCTAGCAAAATATTATTAATTACACCAACAACTGGGAGATCAATTGCAAGTTACTGAACTTTGTGAATTAGCAAGTAGACAAAGAAAAAAAAAGTTTTGCTCAACCTTTTTGGTTACGGTATTTTTGTTTTAATTTAAAATACTACATAATGTACTAGGAAATTTTGTCAATACTTAATCCTTTTAATAAGATATGTCACTAGACCATTTACTGTAAATAGGGGAAGACTGCCAGTAGTGTGGATTATGAAGCATCAGATCCAGCAAGGTATTGATCGCCCTTTATTCCAATTGAAACAATAGGGAGAGGGTGCCCAGCACCCCACAGGATCAGGCCCAGAGAATGAAGATTAGCAAGATTCTACCATAGCATCTTCATAAAAAGTCAGAACAAAAATTCACTTACAAGAATAGAACAGAAAATACCAGTTGCAAAACATATGGCAAACCATTTCACTCGAGTACCGAAACTAAGCGTTGAGGCATCAAGGACCTTGGGGGAAAAGAAAATTGAAAATTAGAACAATATATTTTGGACAGTACCTAAAACTCAAATACTTCTTTTGCATTTAATGAGCTTTAATAATAAGTACAATCGTCTTGATTATTCAACCTGCAACAAGTATTTACATTTTACCTTGCATGCCTAAGAAATCTCACGTTTAATATGTTCCAATTTAAAGATGGCATTAGCAATTTGATTAGACAGGTTATTTTAGTTCACCTTAAAGTTATATGCATACCATGGCATTCAATAATAAAATGTTGCCCCCACAGATAAGCAGACCTATCCATCACCAAACAGTTACAACTAAATCATGTCATGCCAAACTAGTGAGACCATTTTCTGCACAAGTTCACTCTAGTGAGCAACATGTGTTTAGCAGCTGTCAACTAATTTGCTCCTTTATACTATATGGAAGAGAAAGAATGAATGATCATATACAAGTTTGCTAGTGAACATTCTAAACATACAGCTTTGTACATCCCTTTTTGACAAAGCTACCATTTTTGTTATCAAACAAAGCAGTCACATTTTGCTGCTACAGAAACAGAATAGCAAAATGGAATGTGTGCCAAACAGAAAATTGAGAAGATATTTAAGTAAGTGAAGAAGTATAACAAAATTTGACACAGTCCAGTTTGTTTGCTGAGAAACCACTCCCAAAATTAAAACAAATGAAATTAACTTGTGTAACTTCAGGTGTTTCCTGTATACCAGATTTCTTACTCAATTGCATACCTTCCTATAACCATCCCTTTAAAACAAGGGAATTGTTTTTAAACACACTACGGTATGCAATATGTAATTTAAGTGGTCTTGGTTACAGACTTTGCAAATAAAATGTATCAAGAGACCAGTTAGGGATGAACCTCAATTTCACTCTAGTGACAGGAAGAAGGACTTCAAAGCACCACATGTTGCGGAATAGCAAGTCTGGCTCTTCTCGATTTTGTTCATTATGGTTGGAGAGTTCTACACATTGAATAAGGGAGTGCCACATCGCAAGCAGTAATCCCCATTTCCATTAGTGCTTCAAGTTTGGCAACCAAGCAGCACAATATAGGATAATTTGCCTTGGGACAAAGTCAGTGAGTTTAGATTTATACTCAACTGCACCATGGTCAAATAGTCTACAAACTAAATCCTAGCTCCAATTTATCCAAGATGACTATAAAGGAGTTGATTTAGGATATGCTAAATCATACCTTCAAACTTTGCCTCTCATTTTATGTCCTCGCTTTCAGTTTTCTACATACTTTCAAACAAACATCATTATGATAATACTTTATAGTGATTTGACTTGACTGATTTCACATTCTGTATGTGGATGACCCATTTCCTGGCTAGATTCTTCAAGAACAATGTTCAGCAGATTGTAAATCTGTAAATTTAGTTGCACATCTTTTTGAATCTTTATTACATTAAAATACAGTATGTTTACTTTACACAGGTTTAGATCCAAGGATGGGGGAGACAGAATATTGTTTCTCCTCATGCCATTATTGATTGAGCTTATTTTCTTTAAGAATGTATTTTTAAAACCTACCTGTTAATTTTTGCATAGTCAGGTTAGTGTGAATGCTTGAAATTTTTTTAGGCAAAAAGCTAAACCAAATTCTAACACTAATTAAAAATCTTTTTGGCAAAAAAAGACTATATTAATGAAACAATTATAGAAAGTGCTCAAGCCATTAAAACTGTTATTGAGATAGATTTAAACCACATTTGTAGTGTATGTAATGCTTACCAAAGAATAAAGTCACTGAAGAAAACTATCATTTGATCACAGCTAGGATTTCAAATGATTTAACATGAGGTGGATTTACCTATATACTACTGCAGTTAAAAAGGAGACCATTAAAAAAAAAAAAAAATACACCACTCAGACTTTTCAAAGACACTGAATTTGAAAAACATAAAAGATACCAAGTCTATTTAATTTAATTAAAATGTCAAAATATGTCATTTAAAAATAAAACAGATGAATACAGGTACTCAATGTTTTACATTTGCTTACAGATTCAATGCAGTGATGAAGTACAATACAAAGTACCAGAGTTCTCTTCTCCTGTTTTCAACAATTAAGATCCACCTTTCCAAATGACAGAATATGTTGCTTACCTTATTAGATCAAACTCTTTATCCTTATGTAGGCATAAAGGAAGTAGATAAAAGAGTAACTATATGTCTCAAAAAATGGAAGAATGTGTAGTGATTATATTCCTGAACAAAGAGTCAAATGGGAAGCATTTTCAGCACATTCATTCAAATAGCTAAAGATACATATTTGAATCACATATTCAGGTACATTAATTCATGCAAATAACCACAAGTGCACATAAACATGTTAAATCCTTTCCATTGCAGCTCAGAAATGAAGTGCTGGTATGGCAAGTGCTATCACCACATTAAAGATACCAGACAGCTTCTTTTGGAAAGCCACCATTTTCAGTCTGCCACAAGGAAGGGGTGGGAGAGAGCAGTTGTTTCTTCAAGCCTATCAGGCATAGTGTTGCCAACTCTCGCAATTTTATTTCAAGTCTCACAATATTTGGTGGTTCTTTTAAGCCTAATCTCCTTGGAGCAACTGATTATATGAGAATCTCAGTACTAATTTTTAAATCAAAGTAAGTTCTTAGCCCTCCTGGTTGCAGAGAATAGCCTGAAAACATGAACAAAGTACCCTAAAGGCTTGGAAACCAGAAGGCAAATAAAGCCCTTCTCCACCACTCCCAATATAAAGCCTCATGATTTAAGACAATTTAATGATTTTTAAGGACTTGACTCATGATTTTTGGATATTTAGGGTTGACAATGTCAGGCAAGAATTAAAATTTAGCTAACAGCTAAGACAAAAACTGCAGAACAAGCAGAAATGCTTCAGTAGCAAGGACACTGACAACTGTAAACAATTGATAAGCTTATATGGTCAATGCCCGCCCAGTAACTCAGCTCTTAGAACAGAACAAACCCTCCCTTCACAGCCCACCGGATATCTGTAAGCACTCATCCCTACCCCCTCCCACCCCGCCTCTTTCCCCCACAAGGTAGCCATAGATGCTTGATGCAATAGGAGGCCTCTATATGTACGTACGGTTTTTATTTTTATCTTTGTTCAGGGTTCTCTCTTGACTTGTAACAATGTCTGTCTCTGGATGTACAAATAAATGCAAATGAATTGATAAGAGAATGTATATAACTGGCCACTATGGCACCATATTTTTGAAGCTGCTTGTCAGTCTTCCCGGTACCGTGAATAAATCCCCTTCAGTATTGTCTGTGCTTGCCTGATTCTTGGGGAAAAGAATCTTTTTGCCTAACAATAAGTAGCAGCATACAGAGGGCTGCTTGGGCAAAGACCAAAGCGACCAAGCATATGCAGCCACATTCAGATCAGAGCAGAATAATAGGAGTCAAAAGTCAGAAAAGAGTTTGATTTACTGGCCACTTTTTATACCTCCCACCCTGCATGAAATAAATCTGGACCAAATTACTTCAACGTTTGCAACAGCATGCAATCCAGATTTCTTATTAGCTTTTTCCTTTATTCTCCTTTCCCACCTAGCATATCCACACAAGATTCCTCAAGACTACCACTTTATACACACTTAACAGAGTACTATTTAAATCTTCTCAATGGAGACTAGTGAATAATGCAGCTGGGCAAATGGCTGCACAATTTACCCTTCTGGCAAGTTACTAAGTGTGCAAACCGCAGACTTTTCTAGCCAACAGGAGACAAGCAGCTCTAGTAGGCTTAGGAACTGCACATGGCAGTCACCTTCTGTGTCCCTGGGAGGCCCTCCATGCCAACTGGCAGAGGGCCCACCATATTGTAACTCATGTCAGGCCCAACACCCACTACCCCCAAAACACTGTCATAATATGTATCTAAAAGATGTCATGTAAAGTATCTTATGTAAACTGGTGACACATTGATCCAGAAAATCACCATGTTATAGAACTTGTGCAAAACCCATACATACATGTGTACTGGAAATAGGTTCTTAAAATATGCACTGCCTCCCAAACATAAACCCAACCTTTCCTAGACAAAGGAAAGTGGATTACCCTGTCCGACTGGCTTGATTACAGGCAGAGGACAATGAAAGTATATTTACATAAAAGGTAAACCAAGCAATCAAGCTAACTAGCAGCAACTCAGGGAGTACCCTAGTGGACAAACTCTGTGTGCCAGGAATCCTTCCTGGCTCTTGAGAGACAGACAAAAGCAAAAAGCTCTTGAGAGAGAGACAGCAAAAAGAAATTTTAGTTATCCATCATTTCAGGGACAGCACTCTTTGAGCCCATGAAAGTTAGATCCCTGAGCCTGGAGAGCTAAAGATGCTAGTAACCTGATATGAGTAAGAAAACTGCATAGACAAAGATTCTAAATGGCTAAAATTAAATTTTAGTCATTAGAAAGCGTGATTTGTTTTGTTTGTAATCACGTTTCTTTTTCTCTCGCTTAGTACCACTTAAACCTCTGTTCTTTGTTAATAAACATTCTTGATTTTTAACTAAACCATCTCAGTGCTGTGTATTAAAGTGAAGTGTGCCTTCAACTAACGTAACACACTGGTGTGTACACTGTCTCACTGGAGGCAGCAAACTTAATTTCTGAGTGGGTGTGTCTCAGTGAGAGGGACTGGATACTGCAGAGACATCTCTGGGGAACTCAGTAACTGGCGTTCATTGGGTTTGTTACCAAGGTTTAGTTTGGCAGACTCTTGAAGAGCTTGCTGGCATGGCAGACAGGTTTTGGGTCAGCTCCCTGACACAACTTAACAGCAGCAAAGCTCCCACTTGCTGAGGCAGGGGGCTAACACAATGGCTTACAGTTCTGGGTGTTGTGAACAGAACTTCACACCTTCTCCAGCAGCACAGCTCAGAAGTTGTGCAGAGGTTAGGCTCCCCGCTTGCTGGCCTTAGGATCTTCATCATGCTAGGTACTGAACACAAAAGAGGAGCAGTCCCACTCAAAATAT